GCGCGCTGACGTTACTCAGTGCATCTTCTTCACGGCTGGCGAGCAAAACCTAATCGCATTAACGCCACCTGCTGTGCACGAGCGTTTATGCATCGGTTTCACCCGGGTGCCACAAATTAGGGAGCGTAGACAGGTGTGGTTAAGTGCATTACATTTTTTGAACGCAATTTGATTAAATCAAAACCAATCTGGCTGAAAGTCCCAGCCCTATTAATTACCCGGCCGACACTCCAAGGTGCGGCAGACTGATGATAAGTAAAGGCTTTGTGTTGGAAGGAGAATGTTTAATATCAACTTAAGAGGAAAGAAATCATTGACTAAAGATCCCTGAAGAAACATTACTGTGTAAATAATTATTTCCTACGGCGTTAAGTCCGTATTTATGCCCCATTATATCCTTTAAACTGCCGCGTTGTGCTGTTGACGTTAGGTTTGATCGTAAAAAAAAGATCCTATTCATTCTTTGGTTCATTCGTCTTCTAGCACTTTACCCTGTTGGAGTAAAATGATCATAAATGTAAAAAGGAAAAAAAAAAATCTCTTACTAAAAAACTCAGGAAAATATAATGAAATTGCCTCTTTAGGTAAAATGAGGTAACGTCAAGTAAGTAAAGCCGCAAATGTGTTCGGGGAGGCCAGGAAAAGGTCAGCTCTGCAGACAGATGTCTCTTGTGACGGTGAGCGCAGACTCACTTATTTCAGAGCGATGAAGTTCCACTGTGGCAACGACTGACTTTCTCAAATGTTTCTGTAGACTGTCACCAGAGTGTGGCCGATCCCTCAGTGAAGGGTGCTTTACCAACAGCTCTAAATCCAATCATCTACTGTCACCTCCGTCATGGAGTGCTCCGGTCCTCTCTTCTTATTTCCTACCACGAAATGAGGCTGCCTGCTGCAGATGAGTCCGGGTGAAGTGAATTTCAAAAGGCGGCGGGAGCGACGCGCGAAATGTGTGTAAACTCAACCGATGTGATCGACCAAGGCCAAGGCGTTCGTGCGAGGAAAGGTCAGGTGTTACAGGAGCGACGTTGAGCTCCTCTGCGTTCAAATCACACTTTGATG